CAATTGTTTAAATTTGTAAACAAGAACAACTTCCATATAACTTCGTTTTTACAAGAAGAGAAATGTTGTATATTAACTAGTTGTACGAGTTCCATATTAAAAGGACTAATAAATTTCCCCTAAATTCAAGACAGCCGCCGTGACCTTTAGAACGTGAAGCGAGCAATAGGTAGGTATATTACGGCAGTGTAAATTTCAAAACAAATTAATATCACTCAACTCCTCTTTAATCAATTAACTTGTTTATTTCTTTTGCAAAGTGGTCTGCTAACTCTGGAACTTTGTTTTATTGCGTTTCTTACAGTCGTTAGTGTTACCTTAGCTCGATTTTGTATTCATTTAGAGAAAAAACAGAAGTTTGTGATGGTACCTGTAGAATATTTGCTTTCAATAGTTTTAAAATTGGAACGTTTTACAGTGACCTGCTACTTTTATTTGCCAAAATACAAACACGTTGTCAACGGTGCCTGTTTAGTCTACTGGATATACACCATAATAAACGTTTTAGAATTTATATACTGCTTTTTCGAATTTGTATTTTACAAGTGTAATAAGTTTAAATTGTTCCAGAAAATCAAAAGAAAATTTGAGAAACTGGACTATATAAAAGAGTAAAACCCGAAAACCACATAATACGTTTAGAAAAACCTAAAAAGGTACCAAACCAATCGTGAGGTTGACATCGTGAAACGTGTTATAGATTTTTTAGGCGTCTTTATGTAAAATTTCTGGTTTTATTGTTAGCGTTTTATCTATCTACACTTTTGCAAGTAACGTAATTTCTTTGAAGAAATACTCCTCGGCTTGCAAATTTTATTAATTAATTGAATTGAAAAGAAAAAACAAAATCATTTTGTTTATTTAACCTACTCTAAATTTGCGAAGGAGTACTTTTGAGGCATTGAGTTCGGTAACACTAAATAAAACGTCGTTGCTTAAAGAAATCTGTTTTAAAACCATCGAATTGTATTCGTTGTTAATGTATAATTGGGATACATGCGTAAATATCCAGCGAAATTTAATTTTTTGTTTTGAATCAGAGTATTTGGTGATGGATATTTTATTATCCGCTTATTATTATATTATTTCGGTAGCTTATATCCAGTCGGTATTTTATCTCATATCACACATAGTATTTTAAGATGAAATATCTAAGCGTGACGGGGAAAGTAGGAATGTACAAGTAATGCAAAATGTTCACCGAGCATTACATATTTCTCTGTTGGCATCTTTCTTTTGTAAACCGCACGAACGAAAATGTGTAATTTGGTGAGCGTGCAGAGTTCTTCCTTCTTCTTCTTATCCTCATCTACTTGAAAATATCACGCACAAACACCCCTCAAGGTATCAAAATTACATCAATTTATTAAACCGTTGAATAAAACAGATCAATGTTTCCGATTTTTATGAAAAAAATTTCCCGGTTTATCGGACAGTGAGGTAACATGGGGGGAGGGAGCAGAAAGTGATATGACTCCAGGCGGCTCAAAATGGGACGCCACAAAAACGTTTTCTTCGTTATATTGTCACATGTATGTAGGCAACCCAACATACACAATGTCATGGAAGGCCAGGTTTCTAGACGGCATAGACATTAACATTCTGGAACACGGCCAGCCTCTATAAATCGTTACGAATCCGAGACGATACAAAGCGAAGAAGTGATAAAGTGTTCATATAGTGGTGAATTGATAACTAATTAAAAATGGAAGTGTTAATTGTATAGGAATTAGTTAAATAAAAGTAGTAACAGTGTGAGAAGGTGTTTAAATACGTAACAATATAAACAAGACATGAAACACTTTTTATGTTCTATTCTCATAAATATTAATAAAAAAATGATACAGAATCCTGCATTTAATATCTAATTAGTAATGTCAAATGTTGAACTTATAACAAACGATCGCAGGACCGTTTCACTTCTGCCATGTTTAAACGTTATAACAAACCAGATGGACTTTTATTCCTGATTAGGAACCGCTGCAAAAGGGTTTGCTCCGGGTGGCTATAATTCACGCTACGCCACTGATTATGTTGGCATTGTGAAGAATATGCTGAACAAATTTAAGGAATTACTTTGCCAGATGAGCATAAAGATTCACCTTTAACAAATATCTTGATTGTTTATGTTTATTTTATAAATATATGGTCACATAATCAAACACATATCTCACTACTAACTAATTTATTTAATTATTATTTATTCTCTAATTAACACCATTATTATTAATTAATTTCTATTTGACTAGACCCAACTAAACATATAGGATCGCATTTCCAATTCTAATTTCTACCTTGCATTCTCCATAAATTGGTGAAGCCATTTTCAAGATCAGTCTTCTTGTCAAAGGTCGAATTCGTCATTCCGAAACCACATCAAGTCGAACGACAGTGTTGGATACCCCTGTGTCGATAACTATTCTAACATTGTGCTGCTATACAGGGTGTAAAGAAATAAATACCGTGCTTTGGATGGTGTTAATTAGATTCAGTAAACAATGGCACAGTGAGTTCTACAGCAGCTAAAAATCAGTTTTAAGGAAGGCTTGCACTTGCTGGAAATGATACGGATTGGATAATGACTGACCCTCACTAACGATTGATATATTGTATTGCTGAATGACTTTACTGAACTGCAGATCGATTGCCTCATATGGAAAATTGGTTGATGGAACGTTCTGAAATATTCGATAAAATTCTTCAAAATCCTTTTCTTTCAATCCTCTCCATCCCATCCCTAACACCAAAAGGCCATCTAATCAAAATTTTCTTTCATTACTCACTAATTTATTTAATTAGTTACTCTCTAATTACCCCCACTATTCCGACTCGCGGCAATTGTAGGGACTGAACTTGTTCTAGAAAGATCCAGAATGTGAGTTCTAGAAAATCTGGTCTTCTTTGTTTCTGTGTTCGTTGGGTTTCTGACACATGAAAATATTATAAAACACATATTTTAAAGTAAATTATTATTTATTTAGATTTTTTTTGTCAAATATACTTTGCATTATAAAAGAAAAATAAAGCCATATTTGAGGTCAGCGATATCAAATTATTCAAGTTCAGTTTGAAAAAACAATATATTTATTAGGGTGTCAAAACGTAGTCCTGTGTTATCATCGATTTCTCTAACGTTAACCTTAATTAATAAAAAAATAGTTAAAAGTAATAAGTAATAAATAAA